GAGGAGCGAAAGCTGCACAAAAGGAAACTTACGAAAAGTCTCCGCAAATACCGTGAACAGTGGTGGGCGACAAAAGCCAAAGAGATGGAGAAAGCTTCGAGGATAGGCAACACCAGGCAACTATTTACACTCATCAGGGAAACGGGTGGGAGAAGACAAATCATTAGTGAGACAATCTCGGAAAAAAATGGCACTATAATTAGCTCACAGGATAGACGACTGGATCGTTGGAAAGAGCATTATGAGGAGCAGTTTAATTTGCCCACAGCCACGCTCAACCTTCCGAACATCCAACACCTCCCTGAATGGCATATAGACACAGGTCCTCCGTCACTAACTGAGGTTACTAAAGCTATCACCAATCTGAAACTAGGCAAAGCAGCGGGACCTGATGGAGTGACTCCAGAGGTATTTAAGTACGGTGGAGACAGCTTACTGTCCGGATTAACTGAGGTACTAGGCAGCGTCTGGGAATCAGAAGAAGTCCCATCGGGTTGGTGTAAGTCACTGATTATCCCCATATACAAGAAGGGAGACAAGTCTTCCTGTGATAATCACAGAGGGATTAGCTTGACTAATATAGTATCTAAAGTCTTAGGCTCAATAATCATGCGTAGACTGAGTGGTGCTCGGGAGGCCCAAACACGAGAGAGCCAGGCAGGCTTTAGACCAGGAAGAGGGTGTATTGATCATATCTTCACCCTCCGACAGATTCTAGAACATAGGCATTCCTACTGGCGTCCAACAGTCATTATATTTCTTGACCTAAAGGCAGCATTCGACTCTGTCGATCGCGAAGTTCTCTGGAGATGCTTGGCTGTAAAGGGAATTCCAAGAAAATATATTGCACTGATTAAGGCACTCTACTCGTACTCATACAGCCAGGTGAGGGCTTACGGCGAGTTTTCATTTGAAGTGGTGACGACTAGTGGTGTCCGTCAAGGATGCCCATTATCTCCTTTTCTATTCAACTTCATCATAGATGTGTTAATGGACTTAACCCTAGGTGACTTCAGTGACTCAGGAGTTGACTTGCTACCGGGGAATAATCTCGTTGACTTGGAATATGCAGACGATATAGTCCTTCTAGGCGAAGACGCTGACGCAATGCAGAGTCTTCTAAACACCTTGAGCCGCAATCTACGAATGTTTGGCATGCGATTCGCTCCCGCCAAATGCAAGATGATGTTACAGGACTGGACTACATCGACGCCTAGTTTAAAAATAGGAAGTGAAGTGGTAGAGCACGTTGACCGCTTCACTTATTTGGGAAGTACCATCAGCCAACGCCAACGGGCTGATCTCTGACGAAATCTCAGCACGAATACAAAGGGCTCGTTTCGCATTTGTTAGTTTACGCCGACTCTGGCGTAGACGAGATGTTGGACTATCGACCAAAAAGCGAGTGTACTGCTCATCAGTCCGCTCCGTCCTCCTTTATGACTGTGAGACCTGGCCATTGAGAGTGGAAGACATGAAAAGATTAGCTGTCTTTGATCATAGGTGCCTGCGCTCTATTCCCCATGTAAAGTGGCATAATGAGATAAGCAACATTGAGGTTAGGCGTAGAGTTCTAGGTAAACAGAGGGAAATCAATCGACGAAGTTGTGAAGCTACAAAGACTGAGATGGTTAGGACATGCGTTACGTATGCCAAGTCATCGCCTCCCTCGACGAGCAATGTTAGCGGATATAGGGTCAGGCTGGAAAAAAGCTGACGGCGGTCAAACAAAAACTTGGCATCAGTCAATGAAATCCACAACAGTTGGTCTAAGCCACGTAGGAAGGTGTAGACTTCCAGGCTGGGGTCCTCGGGACGGTAAAAATCTATGGTTGGAAACAATTGGTGACATGGCTCAAAATCGTTCTCAGTGGCCAGCGCAGATGCATCCACTCCTTGTGACTTATGATCTCCAATGAAACTGTTTTGTTTCTCTTTATTACTCCTTTGTCTCACACCTCTGCTCACTGTCTCTATTATGCTTTTCTTGTACTTTCTTCTCTTGCTTCGCGTGCTACACAGAGTGTGGCGACTTGAACTTCCGCACATTTGTGCAAAGTTCTATGTCGAATACAGACAGACAGGCAAATAAGTTTTGCATCCAGAGCAACTTTTAGTCCCTCCAAGATGACACAACTTATTATCCTGTTCTGAGTGGACAGGAGCAGGATTGAGTGCCAGTTTTTGCAAAGGCTTAAGTTATTTAAATAAAGACGAAAAAGAAGTCAACATCTGTAAATACGAACCTATATACAGTGAGTTATGCCAGCAACTTTTCCAACGCTTAGTAAACGTTGTGTAGCTTGGAAATGTGAGACGATGACTAAAAGTGCTTCACTTACTGTTGTATAGCTGTTTAACTCCAGTGAAACTACTATACAATGAAATCAGCTTTGTACGACCTGTGTATATAGAAGAACTACAAACTAGTATATTTCTGCTAGCGAATAATAGGAGTCTAGAAATAAACAATGATTTATTTTTATGACTCAACTTATGCTAATTATACCTATGCAGTCGCTCCTTCTGGAACACGTGCGTAGATACCGACCATGCACTGGTCCGCGCTCGGGTGTGCTTACGACTGAACGGACGTAGGAAACAGCTGGCGGTAAAGCCATCACGTCCCCAGCTCGATCAGGAAACTAAATCCGTATTTCAGGAAGAACTAGCTAAACACATATCTGTGTTCGACAGCTGTGCTCACCCTGAAGAAGCTTGGAAAAATATCCAGGCAGCCATAGATACAGCTGTAAAAGCTGTGAATAAGGTAAATCCAAAGGTGAGTAAAAACCACTGGATCTCCACCGCCTCATCCGAACTGATAGATGCTAGAAGACTTATTCCGGCGAGCTCCGAATTCAATGAGGAGCGAAAGCTGCACAAAAGGAAACTTACGAAAAGTCTCCGCAAGGACCGTGAACAGTGGTGGGCGACAAAAGCCAAAGAGATGGAGAAAGCTTCGAGGATAGGCAACACCAGGCAACTATTTACACTCATCAGGGAAACGGGTGGGAGAAGACAAATCATTAGTGAGACAATCTCGGAAAAAAATGGCACTATAATTAGCTCACAGGATAGACGACTGGATCGTTGGAAAGAGCATTATGAGGAGCAGTTTAATTTGCCCACAGCCACGCTCAACCTTCCGAGCATCCAACACCTCCCTGAATGGGATATAGACACAGGTCCTCCGTCACTAACTGAGGTTACTAAAGCTATCACCAATCTGAAACTAGGCAAAGCAGCGGGACCTGATGGAATGACTCCAGAGGTATTTAAGTACGGTGGAGACAGCTTACTGTCCGGATTAACTGAGGTACTAGGCAGCGTCTGGGAATCAGAAGAAGTCCCATCGGGTTGGTGTAAGTCACTGATTATCCCCATATACAAGAAGGGAGACAAGTCTTCCTGTGATAATCACAGAGGGATTAGCTTGACTAATATAGTATCTAAAGTCTTAGGCTCAATAATCATGCGTAGACTGAGTGGTGCTCGGGAGGCACAAACACGAGAGAGCCAGGCAGGCTTTAGACCAGGAAGAGGGTGTATTGATCATATCTTCACCCTCCGACAGATTCTAGAACATAGGCATTCCTACTGGCGTCCAACAGTCATTATATTTCTTGACCTAAAGGCAGCATTCGACTCTGTCGATCGCGAAGTTCTCTGGAGATGCTTGGCTGTAAAGGGAATTCCAAGAAAATATATTGCACTGATTAAGGCACTCTACTCGTACTCATACAGCCAGGTGAGGGCTTACGGCGAGCTGTCATCTGAACTGGTGACGACCAGTGGTGTCCGTCAAGGATGCCCATTATCTCCTTTTCTATTCAACTTCATCATAGATGTGTTAATGGACTTAACCCTAGGTGACTTCAGTGACTCAGGAGTTGACTTGCTACCGGGGAATAATCTCGTTGACTTGGAATATGCAGACGATATAGTCCTTCTAGGCGAAGACGCTGACGAAATGCAGAGTCTTCTAAACACCTTGAGCCGCAATCTACGAATGTTTGGCATGCGATTCGCTCCCGCCAAATGCAAGATGATGTTACAGGACTGGACTACATCGACGCCTAGTTTAAAAATAGGAAGTGAAGTGGTAGAGCACGTTGACCGCTTCACTTATTTGGGAAGTACCATCAGCCGCCAACGGGCTGATCTCTGACGAAATCTCAGCACGAATACAAAGGGCTCGTTTCGCATTTGTTAGTTTACGCCGACTCTGGCGTAGACGAGATGTTCGACTATCGACCAAAGGGCGGGTGTACTGCTCATCAGTCCGCTCCGTCCTCCTTTATGGTTGTGAGACCTGGCCACTGAGAGTGGAAGACATGAAAAGACTAGCTGTCTTTGATCATAGGTGCCTGCGTTCTATTTCCCGTGTAAAGTGGCATAATAAGGTGAGCAACATTGAGGTTAGGCGTAGAGTTCTAGGTAAACAGGGGAAATCAATCGACGAAGTCGTGAAGCTACAAAGACTGAGATGGTTAGGACATGTGTTACGTATGCCAAGTCATCGCCTCCCTCGACGAGCAATGTTAGCGGATATAGGGTCAGGCTGGAAAAAAGCTAGCGGCGGTCAAACAAAAACTTGGCATCAGTCAATGAAATCCACAACAGTTGGTCTAAGCCACGTAGGAAGGTGTAGACTTCCAGGCTGGGGTCCTCGGGACGGTAAAAATCTATGGTTGGAAACAATTGGTGACATGGCTCAAAATCGTTCTCAGTGGCCAGCGCAGATGCATCCACTCCTTGTGACTTATGATCTCCAATGAAACTGTTTTGTTTTTCTTTATTACTCCTTTGTCTCACACCTCTGCTCACTGTTTCTATTATGCTTTTCTTGTACTTTCTTCTCTTGCTTCGCGTGCTACACGGAATGTGGCGACTTGAACTTCCGCACATTTGTGCAAAGTTCTATGTCGAAAAGAGACAGACCTATGAAGTTAGACGCGTATAATAATAAGACTGATGGTATTTTAATAGTAACTAACCTGTGCTTTTTTAAGCCATACTTTTGGACGAGTGAATTTCTCGACACGTGGCAACAATCGACCAATTATTACAGCTTGAAGAGTGTATGCATCATTAACACGGAATTGAATAACGTGATGGAAAGTAGATTCACCCTCTGACGTTAAATTACGAGCAGGTGCCCATGTAATTTTCAATAGAGCTTGGCCGTGCAAAGGTGAAAGGTGAATTTGTTTAGAGACTGCAGGATAGCATGATCGAAATTCGTTATCTGTTTCTGATGCTATCCAGTCAATAAGGAATTCATTGTCTGGAGGTCCACGTTGAACTACAACCTTTGAAAAAATTAAAGGGAATGAGACATGCAACAAACTGCTAAAATATTTAAAAAGATTATAGACTGGTGAAGAGGAACGTCTGTTGTAACCATGACTTAGGTTACTTTGGTAATGGACTTAGAATCTATACAAATCACAGAATATGAGAATGTGAATTAAATAACAAGATGTGAAGGGAAAGCAGGACGAAACCGAGTGTTCTCATCAGTTTAAAAAAATGAATTTCATCTGTAAAGACGGCTGGGGTTATTATCAAGGGGATGCTTAAATAATAGTTTGATATTATTCATCAGTAATCACCAATCTGACTGATTTAATTTTCACCGTACAACTTTGCACAGAAATGCAGTAGTTTACGTTACCACATTCCATACTGCATACAAATGTAGAGAGAAGCAAAGAAAAACTCAAAATAACTACAATGAGCAGAGTTGCCCGGGAGAAAGAACAATTATACAGACTTAATGGATCTAAGAGATTACAAAGACCGAATCGATTTCCGTTATTGAGAACGATTTTGAAACATATTAGCAATCGTCTCCGGTCATTGGGTCCCCAATACTAAACATCTGTGGTTCGAGATACCAGAGTTTTAGCTAATAACGCCTGTTGTCAGATTTAGCATAAAGACACTGAACGCTCGGATATAAAAAGTAGCAGCATGGTTTTAGGAGACTAACAGTAGTATTTTTCCAGCTCTCATGGTCGCTGAATTAAGGAAAGATGAAGAATCTACCTATGTAATAGTACGAAAGGTGACAGAAAAGTAAGATGAAGATGAGTGATAAGAAAGCTTTGTGTATTTATGAAAGCGTGTGGGATTTTATTACTTACCGGTTGCTCAGACTATGTAAGTTGATTTCTACATGAAATGATCGAAGCAGAAAGAGCATCGGTAAAAATTGACCACAGAAGTCAGAGGACAAATGCATGATGCTGAACAGACACTGCCTGTTTGAGTTGCTTTTTTGAGTCGTGTCCGTATGAAGACCTTATCGCCGCAAGGTGAGTCGATGTACAATTTTCGGGGATTACTTTTTCTAAACCACCTTCCCCAGGGTGGAGAAGAAGCATAGCTGGTTTGCTGGTTGTAAGAGGATAATATCTTACTCCTGTTACATCACTATCCACCAACAGTAAGAATTCACCCCAAGACACTAAACAGAGTGCGGGCAACTTACACCATTATGGCAACTGCTTTTGGTTTAACCTTTACACAAGAAACCTTTCTGGTATGGTTGGACCTGCAAGAGGCAGTATAGCTTGTTTACACCAATCAATGACGTGTATCTGACGATGACAATGTTCAGTATTGTAGTTTGAAATGCCACTGATTATTTTCTATGAATACTTGTTTTCATCAGAAAACAGTGTATAACTTACATATACGAAATGAATCAAGTGCATCAGGGATAAATAACTAAGTACATTATAAAAAGGGCAGAGACTTACCGACTGTGCCTCATCAATAAGGTTCTCTAGCAACAAGAAACGAGTTAATGGCTTCCCAGTAGTTGAACCAAAATCCACTACAGCTCGTCGAGAAAACGTCGATAAAGAAAGAATGTCTGAAACATTCACTGTTAGTGGTTCTTCATTCTCGTTCCTATGCAAGACCACTGTATATTTATTATCAAGTGATGTTGCCTCAGTCATATTATCCTGTCGAAAGGTAAATAAAAGAAAATAGAATGCGTTAACAATGCTTAGATATATTTGATATAGTAAACAAACCGTCTACTTTCTAAGGGATGATATAACTTAGTAACCAGCTCGACATCATAGATAAATGACTACATATAGCTTATTCAACTTCTAAAATTAAAAATTAAATGTTTTTCAACGATCATATGCATTTGTACGTGGTTGGCAATGTGCTACATCTGTCATGTGTGGGTTAATGATACTACCTAACCAGTAAACCATAATAGGCGGAACGCGGTTAGCATCTAAGACTCGGTGGTTGGAAGTCTAGCACCTACACCTGTGAGCTACAGTTCCCAATATTTAATCCTTACATTATTTGCTTAAGAGCATAGTTAAACAAGTATAAAGGTCTCTTCTGAAACACCAGTACTACGCGGCGTACGCCAAATGATAAAATGACCAAATAATAATACAATTTGGAAACATACAATTCTGTAGTGTTTACAAAGCATGATTTTAAAATGGATCTTGACTTCTTTAAAAATGAACAAAAAAGTGTGGTTTAGTATTTATGGTACGTTGATAGTGACTTCTTCCTTCAAAGATGTTTATTTCCCGAATTTAGTTTCTCCTATGGAAGTGTTGATAGCGGTGATTCCAACTAATCCTAACGCCATCTAAAAAGAAGTTTTTAAATCGAGGGCGTACATACCCTACAATCTTATCAAATGACAACACTGAAGAGTGAATTTTATTCCGATATTTTTAATTAAAACACAAACTTGGTACAGCAAGTGCACCAAGAGATGTACCACACAAAAAATGCGAGAACAATATGAGGAAAACAGAGACCGAATGGTTCAAGAGGGGGGGGACAGCAGAATGAAGCAAGTAGGCATATTGATTAATTGCACTCCAAAAAGCACTCATTAATTCCGATTAATTCTGAAAATAGAACGGGGGAACTGCAGCATGTTTACCACTAATACCATTTTTGAGCCGCATCTGATAACGCTACTGGACACGTAATCCGATGGACCTCAACCAGTGATGCAATAATAGATCAATACCCAATACTTTACTTTTACTTTACTTCGGCTATCTCCTACGGGAGGATGAGCCGGCTTCATGAACGTCTCAAATCATCGCTGCCCAGGCGCGGCAATTTGTAAGAGAGTTCATGAAGTTTCATGGGAATTTGGTACGAGTGATGTCCCCAGCATCGCTCGGCCTTTTGTTTGAGAGTGCAGCTCTAGCCTTTACACAACCAAGTGTGACCTACAAGGCAGTAGGAGTGGAGTAAGGAGTCCACTATCCATTGGCAGCCGATGACCGGAGTTCGGTTCATACGCCTTTTTGAATGGGGCCAGACATCCAGGACATCCAACAAGCCCTTTGTCCATACATCTGCCGGTGAGCTCCAGTGAGCTTCATACGCCAATCGTTGGAGGTTTGGAATCAGGGTTTAGCCATCTCCCCTAGACTGTCATCCAATGGACAGTCAACCCGGTGGAGAGCGCCGGGCATCCGCTTTCGCCCTCTCACTTTGGTGAGAAACACCTCCGCCACGTGAAGGCAGTGAGTAGGACTTCCTCAGGAGAGGCTATGTAAGACGCCCGGTCATATGGGAGCATTTCAAGAGGTGTGCGGAGGGGTGGCCAACCCGCAGCGCAAGGCACCCACCCCCGACCATCCTGAGGCTTTGGAGGCAATATTATAATGTGACATCACCTACTGACAAATCACATTTACTTTGTCTAAGAACACGCCAAAAACTATTTAATTATCTAATGTCAGCACTAGTTGCAAGCAATTCTGGGCACAGTGATGATTGAACTATGGATGTACACCACCAGACTAGAGAGGCTGGATACTATGAGCACACATAAAAAAGCACGGGAAAAACTCTATACATCTAATTTCAGACATCCAGACTAATATTACAAAGGTATCAGAAATTACTACAGGAGTAAATCTTATGGCAAACATTCGAAGTTTTCTGCTCAAGGTGTTTTATTATCCTCATCTAAGAGGATAATAACATCCACGAACTCAAAATCAGCAAAACTGTGCCCTAGTAGCAAGTAAATGTTTAAGAAGCTAAAGTCAGTTCATTAGTATATCTATGGTGAAATTAAACAAGCAAATAGGCATCTCCAATGGACACTACTGATTGTCATCAACTCAGATAACAACTCTCTGTAAGTTCTTACACACCTGCGTGGATTCGAGTATTCAGTCTTGATTAGTATACCTTTTAAGTACTTCGTGCGAAAACGTTGCCACAGCACGTTTTGGTTGACGGTGTGGAATGCCACCTTCAGGCCGAATATACAGCAAATGTTGGAAGCCGGTAAGCATGCTTATGTTTTTAAATGTCAAAAGGCGAAAATATAATCAATACATCCTCTTAATGGTCTAAAGTCTAACTAGTTTCCACGATTTAGTTTCTCTCATGCACCGCTCAGTTTACGCATGATTATCGAATCTACAACATTAAATGCTATACTAGTCGAGTTAACCCCACTATGATTATCACACGAAGACTTACCTTGCTTCTTACAGACAGGGGTAATCAATGTCTTACACCAGTTTAACAGAACTATCTCTGATTTCCAGACATAATATGTTATCCTAGTTAACCCAGACAACAGTCAGCTCCATCCCTAAACACATATGGAGTAACTCTACCAGACTCTGCTGCCTTGCTTCATCTCAGATAAAAGATACCCTCTGTAACTTCAGTTACAGATGGAGGATCAATACTGGCATCCCATCCAGGTAGGTGTTAGATGCTAGGCAAGTTAAATACGGTTGCAGGCCAGTTAGGTTGTCCCTAAAAGTGTTCCCCCAACGTTTCAGCCTTCTATCTTGAGATCTATTACACCTTGGAGTGAAAACCCGACTGTTGAATATGGGTTTTAATCTCATCAAATTTAAGTTAATGACGCAGAACCTGCTTGAGTCAACATCTAGTTTAGGAATAATTTTTTAACGGGTTAATCACTTTACTCACGTTGTCGAAAACAGACAGTTAATCACTTTACTCAAGTGAGTTGTACCACTTTCACTGTGGAGGTTTGTGACTAATCTTAGCGTGCATATCTCTACCATGTGTTTTTCTACGCCTTATCGCTTTATTCAACTTAGAACTGTTCAACTTTAAAGAGATGTCATAGCAAGTAAGCATAATTAGCTTGGTCACTAAGTAGATCGTATTGCAGTTCTTATATAAGAAAACCGCCCAAGTATTTAAAAGCAGTAAAAAGTTTGAGACCAAGTATTTATTTAGGCATCACGACACTTTATAATGAAGTGTTTATAACAATTTACTAATTTATACACTTTAAATTCGCCGTGTGACACTTAGTATAATGGTTAATACACTTCTAAAATACTAGTTGAGCTGAGCTATGATAATCTGTACATTACTGAAGTTGGGATACAAATAGTAATTGTGATCAGTCAAAACAAGTAAATAAGCAGGAAACTAAAATGAAATTACCAATACTTACACGATTAGTTGATTCCTCATTTTTCAAATTTTGCTTAGAAATACATAGTGGCCATATGGGACCCACTGGTCGGTTTCGATCCTCAGAGGCAATATATAAAACCTCCTGACTTGTACTAAGCCATGATTTTCTCACTTTTCGGGGTTCCATTATGCAGGAATGGGATACAGGAACTCTTTCAGAATGCAAAGAACAGTCATAATAGATTACAGTTACTAAGGGTAGTAAAAATACTACTACAACAACGTTAACACAGTGCTTATATGTATAAAATAATGTCATTTGGGACGAAAGAAATAAACGGAATTGTTGCTAGTGGATCAGTTAGGTGCCTAGAGTTGAACAACGGGAACTGATCAGTTAGAAATACGATTAGCTCCACAAGCATCAAAAATAACACACAAGAACGAGTATCAACGAATATATGTAGTCGATCAGATGAATGGCGTCATATGGTGATAATCTGCTGGGAAGACTGAGGGCGGGGCGTAGCCCAACAGCAATACAAATCTCTCTGTGCAAACATTATGTGCCTAGAAATAAGTTGCACCTTTTGTGTGAGTGACGACGCCAACTGATTAACAAAACCTTGTTAGGGCCCGAGCCTGTAGAGTCTAATCTAATTTATACGCCAAAATAAAGTATAAAGGAGCAGGAATAAAAGGACTCAGGGCATAAAATATGAATTTTTGTAAAGTGAAGTGCTAAAAATACATATTATGCCAAGAGATAAAGTTCTTTAGCGGGACAGTGAGTGCCTAATCCACAGGTTTCACACGTTCATCGTCCTACTACGAGCACCTACTTATAGGCGTCTAGTTGTTAGGAAAATTTATGTTGTTCAGGAATGCATAAGTGAGAGAGATAGTGAAAGAAGCCCATTTTAGGGCAACACAATCAAAGGAACAATACCTGCGTGACGACCTAATCAACTTGAACTCCCGCCGCAACGCGCTCAACTGTATTTCTGACGTTCTAGTTTTAAGATTGAAAGCTACACCTTATAATCTGGTGCTCTATATCTTTGTGTGTAAAGCAGATTTTGCCTGTAAAAGGGAGCTGAAGGGCAACAGTGATACGTCCACCTTGCAAGACGACCTCAACAAACTGTCGGAGTGGTCTGTTGAATGGATGCTCCCGATCAACGTGGCAAAATGTGCAACCATGCGCATTAGACAAGCAAGCACGAGCTCCTACGAACTAGAGGGAATAACACTTCCATCAGTTCAGACTCACTTGGACTTAGGTGTCATAGTTAGCCACGACTTAAAAACTACAGCACACTGTCGCGCGGTGGCTGCACGTAGTTTCAGGTCCTTATGGGCGATTCGCAGAGCCTTTACAAGAATTACCAGAGATATGTTCACCTCCTTATACACATCTCTGGTTAGGTCAAGACTGGAAAACTGCATCCAGGCCGCCAGTCCGTGTCTAAAAGGGGATTCACACATTCTAGAAAGTGTTCAAAGGAAGGCAACACGTATGGTTCACGGCATAGCTAACTTATCATATGAGGAAAGACTAGATAGTTTAAATCTCTTCTCACTGTCATACCGTAGGCAGAGAGGAGATTTAATCACAATGTTTAAAATTTTAAATAATGACTACGGACCTGACCTATTCTCTCTTTTCCTTCCCACCAGGTCGGAACACCTTAGAGGACATAGCAGGAGAGTTCAAAAGCCAAGGAGAAATCATATTGCTGTTGAGTACTGGTTCTCACATCGAGTCATAAACTCTTGGAACCGTCTCCCAGAAGAAGTGGTGTCTGCAACCTCAATTGATTCGTTCAAGAAGGGTTTAGACAACCACAGAAATCTACTAGAAAAGGATTAACATAGGCTGCAAGCCTTCTATCCTCAAACAATAAATCTGAATCTGAATGAAATAATGCTCCTATCCACGCCAAGTAAAATACTAAGTCGCATCATCCTGGAGAGAATAAAGGATGCACTGGATACTGAACTCTGCCAGCCCAACTGGAACAAGCTGGCTGGATTCAGGAGAGACAAATCATGTGTCAATCAAATTACAACTCCACGCATCGTCGTCACAGAACAGAATAGAATGGCAGTCAAACCTCTACCTCAACTTCATTGACTTCAAAAAGTCTTCAGCAGACAGCGTTGACTGAGAAGTAATTTAGAAACTAATTCAACACTACGGCGTACCTCAAGTCTTTGTCAACCTCAGTCAACGGCCATGTAACGGTGGAATGTGTCACGTGTTCCACAACGGAAAACTCAGTGAGGCGTTCGAAGTGTGCAGGAGTAAGACAAGCTGGCTGGCTGTATATTATCACCAACGATGATATTCTTAATTGTGGTGGACTGGATTATGCGTCAGACCGTTGGGGACGAGGAGTCAGGAATACGCTGGACGACCGATTAGAAGACTCTAGAAGATCCGAATTTCGTAGATGAAATATGAAATAAGCTCGAAGACTTGCAGGCGAAAAGCAACAAACTAGCTGAGGAGACAGGCAGCGAAAACAGGACTACAGGTAAATACAGAGAAAACGGAGGTGGTGAATATAGCCAATCAACAGCAACAACAACTAGCACCAGTCACCATTAACGAGAGAGATTTTACAGAGGTTGCCTCCTTCATTTATCTGGGAAGTATTGTTTCAACTACAGGCAAAACTGACGAAGATGTCAAAGTCAGAATCGGAAAGGCAAGATACGCCTCCATCAACCTGAAACCAGTTTGAAAATCTTTCGCATTTTCAACACCAATGTGAATTCCGTTCTTCTATATAGGTCAGAAGCTTCCACTGCATGTCACGAAAAGGATTTCCAACAGGCGGCAGACTTTCATCAACAGCTGCGTTCACTCCGTACTAAAGATCGAAAGGCCAGGAAGAATAAGCAACAAGAAACTATGGGAACAAACCAGCCAAGAGCCAATCGCTCAAAAAACTGTAGGAGAAAGTGGAGATGAATTGGGCATACATTGAGGAGGTCACCGAATGACATCGCATTTCAGGCCCCCGAGTGGAATCCAAATGGGAGGCGACGAGTTGGTCGTCCTAGTGTGATATTGAGGAAATCGTGTGAGGGAGAGATGAGAGAGTTTGGTTGACCGTGAACCCAGCTGAAGAGGACGGCATAAAGCAGAACAAAATGGAGGTGTGTTGTTTCAGCTGTATGTTATGCGATTCGGATTTTAGAGAGTTTCCATAAAACCATGGGAAAAAGATCCGAAATGAAGACGTTAATTTTGGATTATGCTCATGTCAGTCAAGTTTTAAAAACTCTGAATGTACAGGCCTTGCTACGATGGACCACATGCTGTCCCTCGACGGCTTTCAGAAACAATTTGTATTAACCAACGAGAAAAACGAAACACAGATTGGCGACTCAAGAATCCTTTATTCTTACGCCAACATATAGCCGACAATAATGTTATTACAGAGAGATCGAGAATAAATGTTATTACAATAAATCGCGATATTACTTCCGGTAGTTATTATAAATACCCTGAACAGCGAAAGATGGGACAATAACTGCCGTATTGTTGACACCGGCGAAAAATATGGAGGAGTTGGGGTTGAGCAAACAACCATGAATTGATCGTTCAATCCTCAATTACATTGACAGCTCATATACCTAAATAAACTTGTTTGCGCTGCAATGAGGTAAAACCTATGTTCTATTATTCTTGTGCTTTATTTGGTACTCTTTCGGTGGAGGTACTGCATACTTGAGCGGTAATCTCTACGATATTAACCTCTTACTATAGGTTAATGTAATTAAGTACGAACACTATCAACTGATATTGGTGGTAACTTATAAGGGATTTATCGAACCTAAACATCTCCCTAACGTCACGCGATTACACCTCCTGGCCATAGTTGAATCTGTAGGGATCATTGTTTAAGAATCTAACAAGTGTATTCAAAATATAAGAACAGAACGTAGGCACTGTATTAGAGTATGATCTCGTTATAGATTAAGTGCATTCAAAAATAGTACATTACTTTTATTCCAGTTGAAGCGTGATGTAAATCCATATGATGATGTGTCATTGTTAGCCGCGTCTCGTAAACCGTTAATGCCCAGTTCTTGCTAGGCTGGGACTCACGCTGTTCCTCGAAGCTTCTCAGAAACGCTTAGTACGAACGGACGCAAAAACCAGAACCCAGTTTGGCGACTCGAGAATTCTTTATTCTAACACCAACACATAGCCATTGTACAACTAAGCTTTACAACTAAGGTCTATGAACAAATATTACAATAATAAATCACAATATTACTTCTAACAGTTTTGGTCTGACTTCTTTCTGAACAGCGACCGATGAGACGATGACTGGCTGATGGATGCCTCCGCGAAAATTTGGGAAGTTGGTTTTGAGCAAACAACCATGAATTGATCGTTTTATCTTCATCTACATTGACACCCGCCGGCCCAATAAGGGATCCATCCCTTTTTTCCATCACGACCAATGCGCGTTGACTTGGATGCCATTGCGAGAACCTGGGTCACACGGACAGAGCTGAAATGGAGAGGAAACAGAAAAGCCAACACACCACAAGCATACCCACAGCACAATCTCACACATCAATGACAACCTACACCTTCCAGTTAAAGGCATCCTCTTGACACATCCTCTTGCAACACAATCGCCACTTGCTAGAATGACTCTTGCAGAATGCAGTGTGGCCATAGCACCACCTCACGATACTCTACGCACATCCTCTTATCTACTCACTACCAATTACCACTGCAATCGCTTGTCACTCATTCTACTTCATTTCTAGTAACGTCGACGTATACGAGCCTCAGTCATCTACAATCTCGCTCCCCGGCGTGTGGGACCACAGCTAACAATTATCTCCGTATGCATTTCATTCTCAGCAATAGCCTCCCCGGCGTATACGACCCATCTGCTGTCCTTAACATCAACCAATTCATTCACGGATGTAGAAGACAAGAAACAACTTCAGAACTAAGCACGACGAAAATTTTAACAAAATTATGCAATAACAACAAGGTACGAAAACAACGAGTAAACACAATGAATCCAAAAACACCAATTGATGTGACACAACACACATATATACAAACAGTGCACATAACCTCGCAGATCGTGTCTCGATGGAATTCCTTGGAAGAATCGCGCAGGAATTACACCAGTACGCCTGCAACCCCTCTCAGGTTGACGACTGTAAGTTGTGGAATGTCCGAACACGAACAAGATTAACCGACAATTACAATAATTGGAACTCATATAATTATTTAAAGCAAACATATGTACAATCACTACATCAAATGTTGTGGATTCATGCATGACGAACTATCCTTGAAGAACTGTAGGACTTACTGCAGTACGCCTACATTCCTTCTCAGGTTGTTGATCCAAGTGGAAGTCGTCCGGACACAATCAGAATTACCAACAGCTAGATGACAGATGATATCAATTCAGTGTATACAACATGAACACATGTACAAAATCACACGCCAAGCACATTGGACCGCTGATTAATGCGCTACCCTTTGAGGAATTGTAGGACTTACAGCAGTAAGCCTACAACCCTTCTCAGGTTGACGCTCTAGGTTGGAAAATCGTTGCAGAGTTCATTTGCTGACTCCCTTCTATCAGCTATATCCTCAAATCTGAACGGTGACACACCCATGTCATTGTATGGTAGAATATAGATGAGGAACAAACACACGACGTATCTGATCAACCAAGCGTAGAAACAGAGTGATTTACACCAAAGATAATAGCATTCAAACAGTGACTTGAAACTAGAAATGCCTTTATTCATGCAAGTCAATTTAACAATTACTCTCTCGTTTACACTTGACTTATCCTCCCTAAACTGAGCAATATCTTTCGTCTTTTCAAACGCACCCATACTATCATAGTTATTGCACAAGATACTTGAGTTAATGGGCGTCTTTTTCATTGTGGATGACACCACCAATGACAACTGAG